GTGCGTGAAATTTTTAACTGTTTTCCAATGTTTGAACTATTTTTGCATAGACTAAGGTACAAAGCACTGAAAATCATTAACAGACAATCGTTCGATGGACTGAACTGCACAAAACGCATGATCGCACCCGCTAGTCTGGTGCGCGTTGCCATTTATTTCTTTTCTTTCTGCCTAGCTTCCTAACCAATTCGAAAAACAGGGCTGTTGCATTACACGCTTTTCTCATGTCTTTCGTAAGATTTTTTCAAACGTACAAGACTGTCGGAAAACAAATTTCATCTCAGTCCACGGCTCTGCTAATTCTTTGTGGCTGAGTCAAAAAGGATGAATTCTGTGAATGACCAAACGGGAGTCCTCGGAAATTTGGAAAAATCCTCTTGTCAAACTCTTTCGATGCATGTTTCCCGTTTTCCTGCTTTTCGTGACTATTCTTTCCGGAAATTTTCGTGCTACGTCATTCTTCATATCTCCTCGCACAAAGGTTTATACCCCAGAATTTCAAAAAGCTTTGGCTCCCATTTCCTACACATGTGTATATACATATGTTACGAGAGATAAGAACTTTTAGAAAATGGTCCTTAACCGTGTGCAACGCAGAAAAATTTGAAACAATACACACACTCCTGCCTTTATCTTCTACCGTTGGTCCAAATTCGATCTGATTTTATGATCCGAGAGCCAAAAATATTAAAAATTGGAAGTTTGAAAGATTTTTCCTAATAACTGGAAAGAAATCCGCCTAAATAAATCGTTATTAAAGGCACAAGTCTATTAAATCCACGCTGATTTTGTGATCTGAAAAATTTACTCTGAGAAATTTATTCTCTAAACAGTCCGCGGTAAATGAACTACAATCAGTTCTCATGCCTCGCCATGGCCAATCCATGATCAAATTTAGACTAAGTTCAAAATTTCGGGATGTATTGAACTAGAAACTCTACATTTCAGGATTTCGTATAACCGTACAAGGTGAGTTTGGATGACACTGGCAGAGAGAGCAGCTTTCTTTTTACGCAAAGAAAGGCCTAGCATTTCATGCCAAAAAGGAAAATGCGAAAGATTTAAAGGACGAAAACTTTAACCGAGCAAGAGTTAAAATCATCAAGAATCTGCTGAATCGCAATAAAACACAAAAAACCAGCCTAGATACGGTGAATTCAACAGTAAAATGTTGAAAAAATGTCATTTCTGAGAGTTATTGGAATGGAAGACAAAAGTACGACAAAAGTAGGACAGTAAAATCCTCAGTGGGCAGGTGGCTTCAAGAGCAACGTGTTTTCCACTCTTTCTGTCGATGCCTCAGTAAGCTTTGATACGACACTAGCCATACAGCCCGCATCTTTGTTCAGCACCACTAGTACAATTCTTCCGTAAAACAGCCGCAACGGTACATACTCGTGAAACCAATACGTAGAAAAAAAAAAAGGCAACTAAAATTGTACTAAAAAGCGACGAGCTGAGTTAATTCGGAAACTGCGAGACAATTCAGGATCTCTGGCACGAAAAAGCAGTTAGTGGCCTAAAACGAGAGATACTGTATGCACACACAGCCACCACATCCAGACATTTAATACACAGTTGTCTTGGAAATAAATGCTTACTGTCCAGGCAAGGATGTAGTAAGCAAAAGCAGTAATTAGGCAAGGATGTAATGGATCTACCCCCATACATGTATTTCTGCCTCGGTCTTCCCCTCCAATATTGTTAGCTCTACGAGTATTACTGTAATCGGGGATTAAGCTAAATGTGACATTTGATAGTGGTGCATATGTATGTGTAGAGATCGAAATGAGGGATTTATGGGTAATTCGCCTATTTATTGAAATTATGATACAGCGATTACGGCCTTGACATACTGCTTCGCTGCTCAGTCAACGAACATACGGCTACCAGCAAGCTGCTTAGAAAGGAGCCCGACAAATACAAGAAAAGCTCAACGAAGCAGTGCGGGTAAATTGCGCTCAGTGCACATAGTGAAGCGTAAAGCACTTCAAAACCCGTGACTTAGGCCACCTGCTGCAGTTGTCTTTTAGCTGATGCAAGTACGTGGGAACGATAGTTCCACTCCAAAAATGAACATTTAAAAGCCCTCTACAGAACCGCAAAAAAGCAGCACACCAGCAACGTGGCCGAACCCACAGTTTTCGTCGAAAATACGCAAAACGATACCTTGCTTGGAGGCCGGAAAAACTTACATCAATGCCCTGGACAGGTTCAATGCCAAATAGATGAGCTCCTTTGGACCGTTTCTCAAGCTTCGATTGCCGTTTCTCTGAGGAGGGTGAATGTGAAGCGCGATGTGGTGAGGCACTTCTTGATCGGCTCTTACTTTCAGAGGAATTATACCGTATGCGAGCATGTACCGTTCGCCCTTCATCCGATCGTTGCGTCGGTCGTTTTTTATCACCAGTTGATTTGGTGGGCTGTAAACAAACTAATTAACATTTCAGTCCTACAAGAATTCTGTTTTTAGTATTGCCTGCTTGGGAGCAAAAACAAATAGATTCTTCTACAGATCAAATGGTGGACGGCCAGCAGGCGCGCGAAGAAAATCTGAGAAGACCGACTATCCCCCTACCTCAAACCTCCTTGCTTTGTGTGCTTTGCACAGTTCTTCCGCTTTTAACTGCTCGCCTTAGCTGCCTGTACAAGTGATTTGTTTTGTGTTGTATTTATCTCGAGTGTATTTCTCATCGTCTGGGATGTCGTTGCCGAGCAAGTGTGTTGCTGTATATCGCTGCTGTAAAGTTTCTGGTTATGTCGCCAAACCTCGTGTCGTCGGTGAACCGCGAATCAACGCCCAATATTTCTCATGCGCTAGAACATTACTCGCTGCCGGCCGAGTCTCGCCGCCGGATACTCGTCACAGGCTCGACTACAGCGTGGAACAGAGGATGTCCCCGAAGAATGTCCACGTGGCGGGCATTACAGCGGACTTTGCTCCACCCCAGACTATGGGTACTTTCGCCTCTTGCCATGCATGGACGAATGAGGTTTCCTGATTGTTCAACGCTTCCTGATTAAGCAAAAACTTACCAAAACAGCTGTATTACCAAGCGCCATGGCGAGAATGCGCATACTGTAATGATCAGCAATTGGAGCTGCATTTTTGGAACACCGGGTAATAATTAATGGGATATCGTGTACCCTCCAAAAGCAGGAAATATGATTGACAAATCCCTGATGGGCTGAAGCAAGTCGAGAACGTAGCTCAACCGAACCTCTCCACTACCGTACTTCCTGGACAACTGTGAGGCAGAAAAGTGGATAAAGGTGGTAGTGTAGCCCACCTGTCCCTCATACTCTCCACTGCAGCCTACTTCATTTGGAGCACCAAAGCTATACCGTAATTATAACTTCTCTAGCAACTGCTCTTTCCGAAGTTCAGAAAGCTGCCCCACATTATTTTTGTGAATAATTTAACTTTCACAGAAATCCCATCTATTCCGCACTTAACACTCTGCCCATGGAAATTTTCAGACAAGCACAAGAATTAGTTTGAACAAAAGCTGCGGTCACTGCAGAAATTAAACCAACAAGCATCTAAAAGTAATTCTTAGTCCCGCTGACACGTCAATTTTTCGGCTCCTGTATGTGCAGATTTCGAGTTCACTGCGAATGCAATTTTACGGTGAACCACGATCCACACCTTTAAATGTCTCGAGTTCCCCTGACCCTCTATCTCAAAACATACAATTTACCGTCTTCTCTCCCGCTTCGGACAATTCTAATCCCTTTCAGCAGCCCAGAGCAAATGTTATTTTCCTTTGCAACATGTGCTCCCTCGACACTTTCCTTGGGAGTTTCTAATTGTTATCAAGTTTCCTTCATCATTTCACTCCCTAGCCATCTTCCTCGTCCACAGCCAGTTTATTAGGTAATAATAATGGTTACGGAAGACGCAGGAAGACTTCACCAACAGATCCAGTTTTGGGAAAAAGATCAGGAGGGGAGAACGAGGGAAGGCACCCGCAGCTGCTAGTTACCCTTTGAAGTGGCACTGTGAGCAAAAGCACATGGTGCGGGGCACGGTACCACTAATAACAGCAGGGACCCGGGAGTTAAATTACTATGGGAATCAATGTAATTATTCCCTCCGAATGGGCAATTCCAGTAACAGCGCGCAGCAGCACACATAATTACGGCCGGTGGCACCACTTTCCGGTGCATACAGCCTCCATTTCCTGTGCAGATGCGGCTGAGGGAGACACGTTAGTGCTAAAAGGTACTGGGCAATTTGTGCGAACTGATTCTACTCCAGTGTATTGTCCACCAGCTACCGTATCGCCCTAGGCTTGTCAGTGAGGTGAGTGGAGCACACAGAACCAGAATGCACGCTCCCTCTGCAGCACCGCAAGTGGTGCCGCGCAAATTATCGAAATAAACCAGAAATTAGATACTGCGCCGCACAGTTCAGTCAAACAACGGGAACACGCAACGAGCGAAGGCATAAAAATCACAGAAAGAAACCAGGAAGGTCGGTCAGGCAAGTACCAATCAGGCT